TTTGACCTGGTCGAAAAACTTTAAAAATCGGTCCCACGGTCGGCGCCAAAAATGATGGTGTAAATATAGCGGGGTGGGTTAACCGGGTTTGACCTGGACACACTCAACCCGTAATATAAAACACACACAACAAGAACACAAAGTATGACCTAGACCGGGTAAATCTCCTCAGTCCGAATTATATTTCTTACTCTATCTCAAGAGTGAACTTTAGTGAGAGAAAAATTGGATCCCCTCCTCTATCCAATATCATCATATTTATAGAGGAGGATTTGTGACCTTCCCCTGTTCATCCATGGACAAAATAGGAAGCTCGTGGGAAGGTCACTGTAGATAATGGGAACACTGTACAATCATAGAATTTAGCAACTATAAGCCAAGACATGTACTGTTCAATCAAAGACTAAAATGGATATTCTCAATCCAATCAACCCTACAAAATGACAAACATCCCTTTCACTGTGTGCCTCGTGATGGATGAGCGGCGGGGTGACCCCTTGATTTCTGACGTGGTTCACCATGCCTGAGATACTGGACCAATGTTTGTCAAGTGAGATGATATGACCGGTCACCTTCTCTCAAAGGTTACCCGGTCATTCTTTGTGCTCAACCCGTCTCTGGTCTTCTAGATTGTTCTTTGTAACATTAGGCGACATTTTGGCTAACGCCCAAAATGTGACCGGTCACTTTTTTAGTGGAAGTGACCGGTCAACTTTTGACCCGTCCCGATCGAAGAGTTAACTTCATTTGGTGATTGATAAAAGTGACCGGTCATATTTTGACCTGTCCCTTTTGGTTGTCCGGGTCGGGTATAGGAATATACCCATCAGGTGCTACCATGGGTGCATCCATGCTTTACACAGACAAACACAGACGATAATTGTCTGTGTCAGACAATTATCGTCTATGTGAAGCATGGGTGCACCCATGGTAGCACTCATGTGGTGGCACCCTAGCATGATCTTCTTTAAGAGCATCTCCAACCATTTAGTTTTGGCTGGTTAAATGTTATTATTTGGCAATTCATTTCAATTTTTGTGCTCCAAGGGGCTTGCTATAGTATAGCATACTTGGTAAATTCTAACTTTGGCTTGTTATATATAACAAGCCTCTCAAAAAATAGCAAACCATGAAATTGATTAAATATATGATTTCTCTCTTCTTTTCTCTCATTCTCCTTCTCAAAATATAAAGTTACTTCTACTCTCTAATTTTTTGTTTTTGTAAATTTTTTTCTCTACTCTTTAAATATTTAAAATAATACTCCGTATATTTTATTATTTTCCCTAAAGTACGTAAAATAATACTCCGTATTGTTTTTTGAAATTATTATCTTTAAATTACATACTTATTACTAAATTTTTATAATATAAAATAATAATTGAATAATTATTATGAAGAGTGTATTATAATAGTAAAAACAATATAATATACTCCCTCCGTCCCCCTGTATTTGTCCACTTTCATTTGTGCACACCATTCAATGCACTTCTTTAATCCATTTTATCTTGTAATTTGTATATTAAAAAATTATAGAAATTATATATTAATAATCTATATGTTAAGACAAATCAAACAAGATCACACATGACTATATTTAGGCTTACACATTGAGAGAATTTGATGAGTCAAAGTGCTTAGATGAACAGTTTCAAAAGTCAAATGTGGACAAATATAGGGGGACGGAGGGAGTACTTGTTAGCTAAATTATAGCAAGGGAAGGTTGGAAATGACAATGCAAAATGACTTGCTATACTACTATTCACATGCTAAAAAATGACTTTAGCAAGCCATGTTTAGCAATTGTGGTTAGAGATGCTCTAATAAAGTTATCTGATATCTACTCAGTATCATTGTTCAGTACCATTTCCGTTATTTTTTCATACTGAGGGCTCGTATTCAACTGTAATTGCAAATTGGCGTTTAGGGTTTATACAGTGTTCTTCGGTCAATTTTCTTTAATCCCTTCAAATCTCCAATTCCAATGTGGTCTCTTCGCCGTGCTTCTGTTTCCGTCAGGTAATCGTCCTATCAATCTCTGCTTGTGGGTACCAAATGTTAGTTCCCGTCCTCGGGGACATATACAGAGTGAGCCTTCAAGACATTTCGTTTAAATGTTAATGATTTTAGGTGAGTTCCTTTTTTGGGTTTGTGGGACTGCGTCCGTTGGGGGGCTCTTGAGAATGTACTATGGGAGAGGCTATCTGGTAAAAGAAGAAATGGATGCATTGAGTTATAGTGTTGAGAGAAACATAACAAAATATCTTACTTTTTTTTTATTGTAAAGAAATCTTGATCTGGAGTATGTTTGGGAAGAGCGTTAGAGGTTAGCGTTACATTTTGAAAATGCTATCTACGGGAAGCATTTAGTGTTAGCATTTTCTAAGTTAGTGTAGACCGCTAAAATTTAATCCAAAATGCTATTCTCAAACGGGTCCCTGATATGTAAATGACCTATTTAACAGCTAGAAAATGGGCTCCTGGTTTCTGAAATAGGGAATTTTTTGTGATGGGAAAGAAAACTGGGCAGTCATTGAGTGAAATGGTTGCTTAGTGATGCTAAGAAAAGTTAAGAAACACCTCCCTTTTTTCAAATGATCAATGAAAATGCATACTCAAATAAAAGTTATCGGAAGCCTCAAATAAAAGATGATAATTTAGGGAGGGGGGAGTAGGAATACCAATATAACCCACACCCAAAGCTTCTGAAAATAACTTAAATTCTTTGAAGTTTTTTGTTTTTGCTTTTTAATAAACTAGTAATATTAAAATTCTAGAGCTATCAGATTATAATAAACTCTGTATTTGATTATTTTTCACGTCGTGCAAATTGCTCGTAGGTTGCATTTAAAATCTTTTCTTACTCCAAAATGATGTGACGTGTTTCTAAGGGTGCTCAAATTTAGATGTGGCCTTCTCATAAAATAAGAAACACTTTATACATAATTGGAAAAAGTGCACTTTTAGTTCCCTACCTGCTTCCTTGACATTATGTAAAACAGGATGTGTCATTCAATTGCTGTAAGTATAGTTCCTCATTTGTTATAATATACTTAAATACAATTACTCCTTTTCGTAAAAATTACTTCATACACTGTTAAATTTATCCGACTCAGTCTATAATCGTGAATTCCCTGATAAATCCTAATTATAAATCATGATTTAACTAGATGGATTTATTATATCTCAACTATCAATTAGATGACTAAATTGAAAAACATTAACCACAATCCCGTATTACTTATTATGAAGCAATTAAGGGACAAAGTTTGCAATTTCATCTTCTTATTATCTCTAAGAACTTGGTTGAATGCTCGTTGAATAGTTAATCAAGGAATCAATGAATTTGGAGTGACATGTTTTTGAGGCGTTGAAGATTAGCATGAATTTGAAATTGCTTTATCAACTTGGCCATCTGAATGTAAGCATAAGTACTTCTATAAAACAACAACTAACCTAGTAAAATCCCATGAATGGAGTTTGGAGGTGGGTTTATACAAACTTTACTCCTACATTGAAAAGGTAGAGGAGCTATTTTGAAATACCATTAGCTCGAACAAAAATTTACAAAACACAAATGTGAGTACATTCCACAAACAAAGGGAAACCCAAAGGAGAAATGATAAGTCAAAGTAGATAAGAGCAAACCAGGCAAACCTCTAAAAATAGATAAAAGTAAAACAGACAAACCTCTACCTACATTTGTCTTAACCTGAAAGCCGCACACATGACAAGCTGTATCTAAGCACACTCTACAACTGTAATCGTCAATTGCCAAATCCTCCTATCTATTGTCATGTCCTCATGGAGCTCCTTAAGGTGCAAGTCCCATCTAATCACTTTGCTCGAACTCTTCTTCGGTCTACCTTTACCCTCTCTAAGTTTCCTACTTCTAGCATCTCGCACATCTGCAGAGGATCATTGGTATTCCACCATATCACGAGCCTAAACCATCTCAATGTAGCTTCTTTTATCTTACCTTACCCTCAATAGATACCACACCACCTTACCCCGGATACTTTCATTTTAATTTTTATCTATCCTTGTATGCCCGCACATCCACCTTAAAGTCTTCAATATTCTCATCTCTGCCACTTGAACTTTCTTCATGTTTGTTTTTTACATCATCCAACACTCTGCCCCAATGGAAGTACTTATATCCCTCCAAAAAAAATCCTTTTTGAAAACATGTTCTTGTGCCAAAATAAAGGAATTTTATTGGTCCAACCCTGGAACGTCATGCTAACTATTAAATTAGGCCCTGAATCAATTTTTTGTCAATCGGAGGCTTGTATAAACTAACGACCAAGGATCCAAAGTTAAGCACCATCACTTTATTATCATTAATTACCTAAATTAATATGGACTACAGTATGAAGAATCTGTTTTAGCATATTCACTGTTCATCTTCTTCCTACAAAAGAAATCTGCAGCCCCTATTGTCTGTTTATAGTTCGTCCTCATCTTGTTCTATTTGTTACTTCTTCACAAACACTTCTTTATTTCCTTTAGAATTTCTGCAAAGTTCATCATTATAGAGAGTTAGAGACTAGTGTTTTTGTAATGCTCTATTTTTCAGTTTTTAACCCTACTGAAGTCAATTAGGGAAAATGTATAAGATGATCATTACATCAGTTTAATAGCTAAAAGGGTATCTAGAAAATGCTATTCTTCAATTCCATGGCTTACGGCAAATTTCGAACTTAGCACTACGTTTTAAGAGGAAAAAAGATAAACACAAAAGAGAAATAAAATTTCATCAATGAGTATTAATAAATACAATACCAAAAAAACAATCACCTAATCACTAAAGATTCAACAACCCATCAAATTTTCCTTAATCTGCATGTCAAAAATAACCACTAAATACAAATTGTCAATTTTCCTAAAAATACACTTTAAAATTGTGTATGAAAGAGCTCTAATGAGCTGGTTGTCCTTGCTCTGTTCCCCGGATTCCCTAGAGATAACAAGCTGGCAATAACATTGGATCACTACAAAGGTGAAGTTAAGGTGGGTATTTGTTTACTCGAGAGTTGGAGTTGCAGCTTGCAGAGGATGAGTGGTAGACTGGTGGAGGATGATGAGTAGTAAGACAATAAGAGATAGTGGTGAGGCAAAGTGGTAGTCCGGATGGGTGGCATATACTTTTCGTAAATAAAATTTCAATTTCTATGTGCGTCAATATCGTAATCCGTAATTAATAATAATTTAAGGGTATTAAAAGTTGAGGTCCTAGATCATCAGTCATTAGTTTATAATCTTTCTTATCCTAGATTGATTAAAGATATTTTCTAGGTCCTAACTCGATAGTTGATTTAACTTTCAGACCAATAAAATTCCCCAAAAAAGAGATTTGTTTGAACAAAAGAATCTAGCAACAACAACCCAGTATAATCCCTATTCTGCTGGGGTTGGGTGTCAAGATGTATGTAGTCTTACTCATGTTAAAAGAGAGAGCTTGTTTCTGTTAGATCTGAGATGCATCGTTGCAACCTGCATTTACTGCCCAAAATTTCATAGATTAAAAAGTAAAGGAAGTTTACTGTGCCTTTGTTATTTAGTCCTGATGGACAATAAATCCACCGAATGATCCAATCCAGAAGAATGGATCACGAGAAATAAAATAAGAACTCAAGAATTATATGTGTGTATTATTAGCTTGATTCAGCTTGAGGATTCCCCTTTCGGGTCCCCTCTATTTATACATGGATTTTGGATAATTAAGGTAATTCACAATCAAAGGGAGTTTACTCTGCTGATGGCGCGATCCCCTTTTTTCGGCTTCGTCATCGTCCTTCAACTGAGTCTCCTCCGGTAAATTGGCTCTGCCAGCTGTCTTTTGATCTCGATTGGTTCGGGCCTTGTGTTGTGGGCTGGCCCAGATCCATGCCCTCACCGCATGCTTGACCCAGCGTCTACTGGATAATTAGTTTGGGCCGCCCGCTGGATATCGGCCCATCACGGGCCACGTTGAGGGATGGGGAGTTTACGAGGTCCACGTGGGCGCTCCAACACGGATTCGGGCCGCTCCTTGGGTTTCGCGTGACGTTTGGCACGATCTCCACTAAAAGTAATCATGGCCTGCTGTTTCGCCTTCCCACTTTCTGATAAAACCGCCGCTGGACGCCATTCTTCCCTACCTGCTACACTTGCCTCTTCACTTGTCCTTCCGCCGTTACCCGACCCGTTTTCCTTCTACTTCAGGTCAGTTCCTTCTTTCACCCTCATGATTATCTCTGATTCCGACTCGGCTTCCCCGTCGTCTAATTCTCGCCAAGCCGATCAATCGGCCACTGGCCATGACCAAGGTCAGAACCAACCGCCTCAGCCATCGCCGGCGGTCGTGCCCGGCCAAAAGCTGAGCCGACTGAGGAAGCAATTCCCCCCTCAACCCTAGCACGGGAGGGCCCGAGGGTTAGGCTGGATGAGAACATCATGGCGTTGTGCCATTGTCAAATCATTGACCGTGGGTTCACCGATGCCACCGACATGGTCGGGCCCTCTATTGAAGTCCTGCGGCCCACTAGCACCCAAACCGCCCTGGACGCTCCTTCAGGGTTCTTTACTGTTCATCTGGCCTCTCTGAAGAAGGGGTTGCGGTTCCCTCTCCACTCGCTGTTGATTGAGTTCCTCAACGAGGTGGACCTCCTTCCTTGCCAACTGGTCCCCAATTCTCACCGATACATCGCCGGTTACCTGATCAGATGCAAGAAAGTAGGGGTGAAACCTACCCTTGACCACTTCCTGTTTACCTTCAAACTGACCAAAGGTCATGGGGATTGGGCGTCCTATGCTAGCCTTTCCCAATGATCCAGTAAGTTCTTCACCAGTGATAAGAAAGGGTCGACCAAAGATTGGATGCCCTTTTTCGTCTTTGACTTGACGGGACCCGAATCTCCATTTACGGGTTCAGGGCTCCCCTTCTTTCGTCGCGTTCCATGTCCCCAATCCAACGCCACCCTTCTGTCCATCACTCCGTCTGTTTTCAGTTGAGCCACAGGGATTAGAAGAAGAGATGGACGGTGATCTTTTGATCGGCCACTTCATCGCGGGGAGGAAGAGGAAGAGGGATGCAACTCGGCAGAGCAAAAGCAGGCGTTCTTCCTCGCGCGGCGAAGATAGCCCCCTGCGGGAGCAGGTTGTGATCGAGGTGGAAGATCAGGATGACGCGGCTCTAGAAACGGGGACGATGGCGATCAGCTCCCCACCGCGCTCCCTGATGCTTGGTGGCGACCTGGTAGGGTCGTCCGGAGGGCCTTCTCGGAGCGACCTCCTTCCCCACCTGTAGTGACCTACGAGGTGGTGACCGAGGGTCGCTCGACGAGGTTTAGCATTCCTCCCCCGTCCCCAAGCCTAGGGGACGTGCAACTAGAGACCCTGGTCACCTTGCCCGCTCAGGATCGAGCTCGCATCTCGGCCGGTTCTGAGGATGACCTCAACAACATGGTTCTTCTGAAGCTTAGCCAGGTATTTGCCTTAACTCCCTCCTCACCCCCTTCCGCTTTACATCCCTGACTCCTTATGTTCTGATTTAGGCCACGCTGGGGATGATCGAGCTCGTCGGCCAGAGGCAAGATCGCCAAGCGGCTATGGATGAAGCAAAGAAGGCTGCAGAAGATAAGCAGAAGGAGCTGCAGGATGAGGTCGCTCGCCTTGCGAGGGAGTTAGAGGAAGAGAAGGGTCGCTCTGCCAACCTTGAGACAAAGAACGCCTCTCTGTCTTCTGAAGTGAGGTCCGTTTCTGCCCGCGTAGCTGAGCTGGAAGGAGAAAAAACCGATCTGATTCAGCAGTTGGAGGCGGAGAAGAGCGACTAGGCCCATCGCCTGGAGGAGGCGATCGAGTCCTTTAAATCTTCCCCTGAGTTCACTGCGGTCGCTATGGAACGAATGGGCAAGCTGGTGGTCGAGTGGCTCAACACCAGGCCCGGAGCTCAATGGATGGTCAAGGAATCAGAGAAGACCTTTAGCTGCGGACTCTTCCGAGCCCAGCTAGTCTTCCGCGACAAGCTAGCTCGTCTTCCCAAAGGAATCTCCCTCCCCGATCTTGGTCTTCCCCCTCCCTGCCGTGCCTTCGCCGAGTTCGATCCCAGTCCTTACTTGGACGAGGAGAGTTCGAGCGCCTTTGACGAGGAAGAGGAAACAGCTGCGCAGGGCAACCAAGATGGGCAAGGCGACCAGGGGCCTGGGACCAATCTAGCGGCGTCCAAGGCGGGCGGAGGCACCAGCTTGGGCATATAACTTACCCCGTTCTCCCCTTGTACTTTTTTGCCTTGAGATTTGTAAAACATATGATTTTTTCTCTTTGAATGCCTTGGTGTCTTGGTACAATACTCTCCTGTTTGCTAGTTTATTTTACTCGCCGCATGCCTTCACTTTCCTTGTGCTTTGTTGTTGTACTCTTTTCTTTAAATTGATTCACCTTGTTGATGTGGGTGGGCCTTCAGCCCGGGCCCAACTTCTATCTCTGGCCCAACCGCAAGACTAGGCCCAGCCTCGGGACCAGTTGACGTGCCGCCCAACTGTCCCACTGCATTCCTTTCGGCCCTTGATTGGACCATTGCGCCGCTCAAGGTTACTTTATCGGTTCAGCTGCCTTGGGACTTGACCGTCTCTTCGGTTTCTTCACCTGGGGCTCTTTATAAGCCCCCCATTCTTCGTTTGACTCCTCCATTGAACACCTTCCTTTTCTCCATCTCTTGCCATGTCTGAAGAAGTTCCTACTTCTTTGAATCTTTCCGATGGGCCGTCCCCTTCTTCACCGGAGCCTGCCTCTTCTCCCAAGTCCGTTAACTCCAACGATTAGGGGGGGCTAGACCCCTACGAATTCTGCGTCCGGTTGCCTCGCCGGCAGTGGCCCTCGGTTAAACCGCCGCCCATTCCCTTATGATGACTTTAGGGCGGCATCTAAGGCACTTTTAGCTAACCGGTTACCCAATGGAGAGGTTGACTGGCATTATGCGGCTTGGAAGAGCGTGCAGGATGAACACTTGCCTCTCTTGGAGCATGAAGGAGCATATTACACGAGTCTGGAGCAGTGGACGAGCGATAGTCACACCAACTCACCGGAGCGGCCTAATGAAGAGGTCTTGGTGGGGAAAGAACTGGGTTCTCCCCCACCACACCCTGCTGGTCGCTCTCCCCTCCGGGAGACTCCTAAACGACCAGGAGTAGCTCAAGCCACCTCAGGGTCTCCATCCTCATCTAGGTGATGCCAATTGGGGCTCACAAAAAAGAGAGTCGCCCTCCCTCCTTCCTTTGCAGGAGAAGGACGGGGGGTTTTTGTTGCGGCTAGGGGGCGGCCACCTCTGTTCCATGTTGGAGAAGAGAGGTGGTCGCTTCTAGCTACTGGTGGTTGGGGTTCTGTCTGCCTACTTAGCTGCAGAACTACCCTTCACCCTGCCTTTTCCCTTGTATTTTTCTTCTTTTCCGGGCTTCGGCCGCGCAGATTTTATGTTTTTCCTCTTGAGTGTATGTAATATGTATGGAGATTGTCCTCAATTGTATTGGATATGTAGATGCAAAAGGTGATTCTTGATGTGTAATAGATATTTTACCTGCCTACTTACAAGTCCCATCTTCTTTTCAAGTTGTCTTTTGCACCTTATTTCAAGCATTTAGGTCTCCTTAACCTTTAGTTGAGAGAAAACCTCTGCCTCTCTTGGCTTAGCCGTTTCTGGGGCGTTCTTGCTCCCTCGGCGTCGCCGTGTTCCTCATAAGCCCCCCCGGTCGCCCAAGCGACCGTTGGATCTCATGCTCTAGACTTAGCCGTTTCTAAGGCTTTCTCGCCACGGCGTCGCCCCCTTCTTTAGGTGTGTCAGCCTACTGGTCGCCCTAGCAACATCAGGTCAAGCGTCTACTGATAGCCCTTGGACTTTAGTTAGTAACTGGGTTCAGCACTTTATCCCTTGACGAGTATCTTAGTGCGAATCACCATATAGTTTCTTTTAGCGATCTCTTTCCGTCGCTCCTTTTTTTTAAACAATGAAATTCGAGAAGAGATGGGATCAGGAAGTGCCAAAATGCTGATTTTATTTAACTCAAAGGTGAAACATAGCAGGAGTACAATATACTGATAAAATTTGATGAGATTGGCATCGTTCCATACCCGCAGGACGTCGCCTCCCGCTGGTGTTTGCAGCTTAAAGGTTCCATCGACCAACACTTTCTTTATGATGTATGGCCCTTCAATGCTTTTAGCAAACTTCCCACCATCAGTCGGCCGACTGACCTCCCTTTTCATCAGGACCCAATCGCCCGTTTTGAACTGCCTTGGTCGCACCCTCTGATTGTGGTACGACTTAACTTGCCGGCGGTAGTTCTCTGCCTGGATGTAGGCCCTTTCTCTCCGCTCGTCTATGAGATGTAACTCTGCCCTTAAGCTTTCTTCGTTCTCCTGTGCATCAAACGTCTCTACTCTATGACTTAGCAATGAGGTTTCGGCTGGAGCCCTTGCCTCGAACCCATATGTGAGCGCGAACGGCGTTTCTCCCGTGGCCTTTCTCGGGGTGGTCCTAGAAGTCCACAAGATGTAAGGTAACTCTTCCACCCACACACTTTTGCACTCCATTATCTTCTTTTTCAAGCCGTCCACAATGGTGCGGTTAGTATTCTCGACCTTCCCATTGGTTTGTGGGTACCCGACCGCAGCATAGCTATGCTTTATGCCCCAACTCTGCAGAAACTCATTGAACCCCCTAGCCTCGAACTGGGTTCCATTGTCAGTGATGATCTGCTGGGGTACCCCAAAATGGCACAAAATTTGTTTAGACACAAATTTCCTCGTCTCCTCTTCGGTGATGGTCGGTACTGGGGCGGCCTCGACCCATTTGGTAAAGTAGTCGATCGCGACCACGAAGTACATGTTATTTCCTGCTCCCCTGGGCAAGATGCCGACCAGATCAATGCCCCACCGAGCAAAAGGGATCGCCGTGCAGATCGGGGTGTAATTCGTTGCTAGTCGCCCTGGTACCCTTTGGAATTCTTGGCACACCGTACACTTACGCACGTACTCCGTGCAATCTCTGATGATCGTTGGCCAAAAGTACCCCTGCAAGGTTATCTTCCTTGACATCGTAAAGGCTCCCTGGTGTGCCAAACATATCCCCTCATGGATCTCCTCCATCAGCTTCTGCGCTTCGTCCTTCATCAAACACCTTAGCAATGTACCATTATACGATCGCTTATACAACCTTCCGCACTCTAGCGTATAGCTAGGTGCGCGTCGCTTGACTACCTTGGCTGCGACCGGATCTGTCGGTATCGACCCGTCAAGGATGTACATAGTTAATTCGTCAATCCAGTCCGACTCATTGAGTGTAATGACCAAAACCTATCCGGGACTGATGCTTGGTTCAAACAACTCCTCTTCTTGAGTCATTGCCTTGATATGATCTGGGGAATCAGGACCAAGCTTTGACAGGATGTCCGCCTCAGCATTTTCTTCTCGAGGGACATGCTCTATTCGGTACGCCCCAAATGCTAAGCCATTCCAACGCGGTGTCCCTATACTTCCTCATCCGCTCATCCTTCGCTTCAAATTCTCCTGTGACATGGCCCACTATCAATTTGGAATCACACCTCACCTAGATTCGCTCAGCTTTCAGCGACGCCGCTAGCCTCAAACCACAAAGGAGCGCCTTGTACTCAGCCTCAATATTTGAGACTTTGAAACGGAATCTTACAGAGTAATACGCCTTAAATCCTTCCGGTGAGATTGCCACGACGCCACCCCCGAGGCATCAGTCGCGGACGATCCATCGGTGTATATGGTCCACCAACTTCCTTCTTGCTCTTCTCCTCTAGGCCCTACCTCCCTGGCGGTGCACTCCACCATAAAATCCCCCAAGGCCTACCCCTTGATCGCTGATCGCGGTTTGAACTCTATTTGGAACGAGCCCAGGAACACTCCCCATTTACTAACGCGCGACGGAGCGTTAGGACTCCGTAGGAGGGTTCCGATTGGGATTTGGGACAGCAGGTGGATCGGATGGGCTTGAAACTAGGGGGTGAGCTTCTTCACTGTGCACACCACCGCAAAGATCGTCTTTTCCATATTTGTTTACCTCAGCTCTGCCCCTCGTAATACCTGAGCCACATAGTACATAGGGCGCTGCGTTCCTTCCTCCTCTCTCACAAGTACTGAGCTCACAGCCCGAGTAGAGATCCCCAAGTACAAGAACAAGGTCTCTCCGGGCTCCGGCTTCGAAAGTACTAGTGGTGAGAGGAGATACGCCTTCAACCCTTCAAAGGACCTCTGACACTCCTCGGTCCAGACAAAGCTTTTGCTCTAAGGTTCCGCTCGATCAGCTATCTTCGACAAGAAGTGACTGAGAGCGGCGATCCTCCCCGTTAGCTATTGGACCTCCTTCACATTTCGCGGAGGCTCCATTTCTAAGATTGCCTTCACCTTTGTTGGATTGGGCTCAATTCCCCTTCGACTGACCATATGCCCTAGGAATTTGCCTCCCTGAACCCCAAACGTGCACTTTTTTGGGTTGAGGCGAAGCTGGTACTTCTTCATGATTCTGAACACTCTTTCCAAATCCTGAGCATGGGATGCCATTTGCTTTGTCTTGACGATCATATCGTCCACATACGCTTCCATACACCTCGCTAATACTGGTGCGAACAGCTTGTTGACCATTCGTACATAAGTCGCGCTAGCATATTTTAGGCCGAAGGGCATTATCTTATAACAGTATACTCCATTGGGGGTGATGAAGGAGGTCTTCTCTTCGTCTGCCGTAGCCATTCTGATTTGATGGTATCCACTGAAAGCATCCACATAAAGCTCATTAGCTCGCACCCTGCCGTCTCGTCCACCAATTGGTCAATGTTGGGAAGGGGAAAAGGATCCATCGGGCAAGCCTTGTTCAGGTCGGTGTAATCGACGCACATCCGCCAGGTGTTCCCTTTGGGTGCGAGGACTACGTTCGCCACCCATTCCGGGTAGCGGACCTCCTGGATGTGCCCGATGGATTGCAGGGTGGTCACTTGCTTAGTGACAAAGTCTCCCCTTTTCGAGGAAAGGAAACGCTTCTTTTGTTTGACCGGATTGCGGGCCGGATCTACCGCCAATCTGTGGCAGATGATTCGTGGGTCGACTCCAGGCATATCCTCTAGACCCAGGCAAATAACACTTTGAACGAACGGAGGACACCCACCAATTGCTCCTTTAGATTAAGTGGCAAAATTTTACCTACCTTTACCTTCTGCTCCGGCTTGGCTGGGTCCAAGGCAACTTCTTCTACCTCCTTCGCTGGCTCCGCTCTGGGTCGCCCTTCTTCCTTCTATATTGCGGCACAGATCGTGCTGACGTTTTCATCGACTCGTGCCTGGCTCTTGGTCGCTCGGACATAGCACGACCGGGACTAACTCTGATTTCCTCTAGCCACTCCTACCCCAGTGGGGGTGGCAAACTTCATACACAAGTGGACGGGGGAGATTACACACTCCAAGTCCTCCAGACCCGGTCGCCCCAGGATCAAATGGTGTGCACAGTCAAGCTGCACTACCATAAATTCCATGTCGAGTCAGAGTCGGTGGGTGCCATCTCCTACCCCAGCCTTCACTGTGATGGTTCCTTCTGCTTCAATGGTGTCCCCCGTGAATCCTGACAGCGGGGTACGGATTGGTTTAAGGTCGCCCCGAGATAACCCCAGCTCTTTGAAAGTATTACTGTACATGATGTTGACCGAACTGCCAGTATCGACCAGCGTGCGATGGACGACCACATTGTTGATCTCTACCTTTATTACCAGTGCATCACGATGGGGGCTGAGGACTGGCGGGTAATCTTCATCCGTAAAGATCAATGGTTCCTTCTTCTTTCGCTTGGGCAGCGGAGGCCTTTGCACCTCGGCCAGGTGAACCTTGTTCTTCCACTTCTTCCGTGAGGACACCGACTCCCCTCCGGTGTTTCCACCCATAATGAACTGACATCCCAAATGTCGGCGATTCTGTCTTTCTTCTTCATCCAAGTCTTCACAATCTCTCCCCAGATGTCGCCTTCCGTCTTCTTGCCCTTCCCCAGCGGTGATCGCTGCGGCAGCAGCCGCCGGCCTCCTCCACGTTCGGTTACCCGACGCGGGTCGCTCCGGCCGAGGAGGCAGGAGGCGGTCCTCTGGCGCCTTGCGATCAGCTGGTCCATCTCCTTTTTCAGTGTAACGCACTCTGACGTATTGTGGGTGCTGTTACGATGATATTAGCAGTATTTGGGCGCGTCTTGGACGCTATAGCTTTCCCGACTGCGGGGAGGGGCTGGTAAGGACTGTACCGCGTGGATAGGCTGTCGGCTCATCTGATATCTTGTAGGGTTTGGCCCCTTACCAAAATCTTTCCTCTTTCTTCCTTCTGTTACCGGTTGTCCGCTTTTCTTCTCTTTCCGGATTGGCGGTTCGTCATCTTCTTCCTCCAACGCCAGGTATTTCACCCTAGCCAGCATCTCCTGGTAGGTCGAGAGCGGATTTTGTCGCAGCTCCTTGCGCACATCCTCCTAAGGGAGTGCCGCTTGGAGCATGGTGATCAAGGCTTGGTCGTCCGCTCCTTGGACGTCCCTAGTCTCCTTCTCCCACTTATTGATAAATTCCCGGAGTTGTTCCCCTTTCCGGATCTTCACATTGAGCAAATGTGAGAACGGAAGCTTTTGCCTCCGGCTAGACGCGAAGTGCTCCAAAAATTTGTGGGCCAGGTCGCTCCACTTGTCGATCGATCCTTTGGGCAACTTATGGAACCATTCACAAGCTTACCCCTCCAACGTTTCCAGGATGCATCGGCATTTGATCTCTTCGGAGTATGCATACATAACTACGTTCGCCCCAAAGCGAGCGAGATGATCTTGGGGGTCGGTCGTCCCATTGTACGCCTTGACCTGTGGGGTCTTAAAATTGTCTGGGAGAGGACAGGACATTATCCTCCTGGAGAAGGGCGTTACCTCGCTGAAGACCGCCTAGCGGTACGGGGTTTGGGCATCCAGCCGCTTCTCCAAACGTTCATACATCCTCCACAACTCAATCGCTTCTTTGTCCTCGACTGCCTTTCGTCGCTCTTCCGAGCCAATCTTGGATGTTGCCGAGGACTCTCCTCTCCTTTCCATGAGTTTCTCTCTCAGGTTGCCCTTGCGGGCCGACCGAGTATCTTGTAGCCGATCGAACGCTGAGGTTTGGGGCTTCTTCAATTTGGGATCTCCCAACCGATCGAAGGCTGACGCTCGTTCAAAGGAGGACGACTCATCTTCCTCATCCAACCTGGACAGCTCGTCCTCCATCCTCGCCTTCCCGTTGGGCTTGGTCACCTTCTTCTTCTGGGACCGCCTTATCTTTTTCTTCTTTTTTCCCCCCGAGCCCGCAGGCCCGGCTTTCCCTCCGGCGGGTACCCCAGTCGCATCCTCCACCACAACCTCGCGGTTTGGGGTTAGGGCCGCCATCACCTCGTTGAACTGTTCCGCGGTGATCCCGACCCTCTGGATGAGGGCCTCTGTCTCTGTCAAGCTAATAGGAGGGTGCCGGCCTCCAGTGGCACTGTTTTCGCCCTGGAGAGGGACTCCGGCACCTAAGTTTGCGTTGCTACGGGTCTGCACCATTGTCTTCTTGGAAGGTTTTTCCTGAGTATGATCCTCGAGCTCTCAATGAAAGCACCAATTTGATGGACAATAAATCCACCGAATGATCCAATCCAGAAGAATGGATCACGAGAAATAAAATAAGAACTCAAGAATTATATGTGTGTATTATTAGCTTGATTCAGCTTGAGGATTCCCCTTTCGGGTCCCCTCTATTTATACATGGATTTTGGATAATTAAGGTAATTCACAATCAAAGGGAGTTTACTCCGCTGATGGCGCGATCCCCTTTTTCCGGCTTCGTCTTCGTCCTTCAGCTGAGTCTCCTCCGGTAAATTGGCTCTGCCAGAGCTCGATTGGTTCGGGCCTCGTGTTGTGGGCCGGCCCAGATCCATGCCCTCACCGCATGCTTGACCCAGCGTCTACTGGATAATTAGTTTGGGCCGCCCGCTGGATATCAGCCCATCAAGTCCATTCTGTGCGAGAAAGTTAAACATTGTCAATGATGACTCTTTTAGCTCCATTAGCAATGGTCAGAAACAAAAGAATCTAATACTTCCTACGTCCCATAAAGTCCTTGTTTTGATTTTTATGAGATTTAAGAAAGCGATATTTTTTTGTTGACTTTCGAAACTACCCATAATGTGATGTGTAAAAGTTAGATGTGATGAGTAGATTATTCGTTAATAGGTATGATGTGATAGGTAAGGTAAGAGTTAGTAGGGGTAAAAGGGGTTTTTTTAATGGAAAGGAGAAATGGATTGTGGGACACAAAACAAAAAGAAATGAGAAAGAGTTTGTGGGACGGAACCCGGAGGGAGTATAATATAGTGATTGTTACAAAAGAATCTAAAACACGGTCAATGATTGTTTGTAACATTTTTAATGAATGCATTAAATAAAGTGATAAATATTACTACTCCATGTATTATAAGAAAAAAATCTAATATAGGAATACCTCTGCCCCAAAATATTCATCCATTTTGACTTTTTAAAGTCAGATTAGATAAATTTTGATCATCCATTAAATAAATTTTTTATTAGATATTAGTAAAAAAAATTAATTAAATTTGTCTTACAGAAAGCTGTAATAGAAATTTATCTCATTGTATTAAGATGCAATGCATATGTAATGTAATTAATGATTAAAATTTATCCAACTCAGAACAAGGCAAACTGTATGAATACTTTGGGACCGAGGGAGTAATATTTCACATTACTTAATGTATTTATTACAAAATGTTACAATCGAATTAAAAAACCAACATATAAATTTTAAACATATAAATTTAGGTAAACCAACATATAAATTTAATAACATAGCTAGAATTGATGCTTTCAATAGATGTGCCTTACTAAAACTCTTTTACCTTGATGAAGTACAACAACAAAATTACCCGAGTTCCTCAAAGTCTCCCGCCCATTGCGGGGTACGGGGGGGGGGGGGGGGGGT